GCCTTAGAAAATCTGAGCAACAACAAAGCTAGTGGAGGTGACAGTATTCCAGCTGAGCTATTCAAAATCTTAAAAGACGATGCAGTAAAAGTGCTACACTCAATTTGCCAGCAAATTTGGAAAACTCAACAGTGGCCACAGGATTGGAAAAGGTCAGTTTACATTCCAATTCCAAAGAAAGGCAATGCCAAAGAATGTTCAAACTATCGCACCATTGCACTCATTTCACATGCTAGTAAAGTTATGCTTAAAATCCTACAAGCTAGACTCCAGCAGTATGTGGATCGAGAACTACCAGAAGTACAGGCAGGATTTCGAAGAGGCAGAGGAACTAGAGATCAAATTGCCAACATACGCTGGATCATGGAGAAAGCTAGGGAGTTCCAGAAAAACATCTACTTCTGCTTCATTGACTATGCAAAAGCCTTTGATTGTGTGGATCACAACAAATTGTGGCAAGTTCTTAAAGAGATGGGAGTACCAGACCATCTCATTTGTCTCTTGAGAAACCTATATGCGGGTCAAGAAGCAACAGTGAGAACTGGACACGGAACCACTGATTGGTTCAAAATTGGAAAAGGAGTCCGGCAAGGCTGTATACTGTCGCCCTGCCTATTTAACTTATATGCAGAGCACATCATGAGAAAGGCAGGGCTAGATGAATCAAAAGTTGGAATTAAGATTGCCGGGAGAAATATCAACAACCTAAGATATGCAGATGATACCACTCTAATGGCAGAAAGTGAAGAGGAACTAAAGAGCCTCTTGATGCGGGTGAAGGAGGAGAGTGCAAAAGTCGGCTTGAAACTCAACATTAAGAAAACCAAAATCATGGCATCTGGCCCTCTCAATTCCTGACAAATAGATGGGGAAGAAATGGAGGTAGTGACAGATTTTATTTTTTCTGGGCTCCAAGATCACCTCAGATGGGGACTGCAGCCAAGAAATTAAAAGACGCTTGCTCCTGGGGAGGAAAGCTATGGCAAATTTAGACAGCATACTAAAAAGCAGAGACATCACCTGGCCAACAAAAGTGCGTATAGTCCAGGCCATGGTTTTCCCAGTTGCAATGTATGGCTGTGAAAGTTGGACCATAAGAAAGGCTGAGTGCCAAAGAATTGAGGCCTTTGAACTATGGTGCTGGAGAAGACTCCTGCGAGTCCCTTGGACTGTAAGGCATTCAAACCGGTCAGTCCTAGAAAAGATCAACCCCGACTGCTCTTTAGAAGGCCAGATCCTGAAGTTGAAACTCAAATACTTTGGCCACCTAATGAGAAGGAAGGACTCACTGGAAAAGGGCCTAATGCTGGGAAAGATTGAGGGCAATAGAAGAAGGGGACGACAGAGGATGAGATGGCTGGATGGAGTCACTGAAGCAGTAGGTGTGAACTTAAATGGACTCCAGAAGATGGTAGAGGACAGGAAGACCTGGAGGAAAGTTGTCCATGGGATCGCGATGGGTCGGACACGACTTCGCAATTAACAACAACAACAGTATGTAGGTCTTTGGTTATTCGGGTTTTCTCCCATGTAAAATTGGAAGTGTCTTGGCGACGTTTCGACGATGTCCCGTTCGTCATCTTCAGGCTGGTGTTTTCAGCTTCATGCTTCGAGGAACAATGTGTGGTCTTAGCTGTTTCTTCCTTTTAACTGCCAGTGGGTGTATCAACTGATTGGGTGGGAGCTTGGCTCTGTTCTGATTGGGTGGAGGTGTGTTCTGATTGGTTAGGGGCTTGGCTGTGCTCTGATTGGCTGGGCGGTTGGCTGTGCTCTGATAGGCTGAGGGAGTGTTCTGTTTGGGTGGGGGCTTTGTTGTGCTCAGGTTAGTCTGAGTTGCAGGGGGGTTTAAGATGGTGGGCTGCCTTGCTATTTTTTGGCTTCGCGTTCGTGGTCATGCCTCATCTTCATGGAGGATGTCAGTTTGCTTCATGTATGGATTGGAGGGGTTTAAAGTGGCTAATGATGCAGCTGTGGTCTGGCTTCTGGTTTGTGGTGGTCTCTCATCATCGGTGTAGCTTTGGGTTTGCTTTTTGCGTGGATGTGTGGTGGTGACATCCTGTGTGGTTTTTGTGAGTGTGGGTCTGGTGTCATTTTTTTGTGTTAGGGAGTCGTTTGTCAATAAGGGTGGGTTTCCAAATGGCTGGTAGGCGGGAGGTATCATCTCATTTGTTCTGCTGTGCGAGCGTTTTTCTATCTCGATGGCTTCTCTTATTATTCTGTTATTAAAATGATCAGTTTTGGCGATAGTTCTGGTATTTTTAAAGTCAATTCCATGTCCTGTGGCTTTAAGGTGTTGGACCAGGGAAGATGTTGGTTCCTCTTTTTTGACTGAGTTCTTATGTTCTTCAATGCGTGCACTTATTCTTCTGTTGGTTTGTCCGATGTATGTGGTGGGACAAGTGGTGCATGGGATTTCGTATCCTCCTTGATTTTCTAATTCAATTTTATCTTTGGGGTTTCTAAGGATGGTGGATATTTTTCTGTTTGTGCAGAATGCTGTTTTGATGTTGTGTTTATGGAGGATCTTACTGATTCTGTCTGTGGTGCCTTTTATGTATGGGAGGAGGGCTTTGCCGTTTTCTTGTTCTTTGTCTTAGATTTTAGTGGGGGTTTCTTTTTGGATTAGGTTTGTAATCTTATTTCTTTGGAATCCATTGGATGTTAGTACATTGGTGAGTGTGTAGTTCGGTTTTTAGGTGTTGTTCATCAGCTAAGTGTTTTGTTCTGGAGATGAGTGTCTTGGCTACAGAGTTGATCTGTGCTGGGTGGTGGTGTGAGAGAGCATGCAGATAGCAGTTTGTGTGTGTTTTCTTCTGGTAGATGGTGTGTCCTAGGGAGCCATTGGATTTCTTGTAGACTAAGACATCCAGGAAGGGAAGTTGGTTATTAGCTTCTGTTTCCATGGTGAACTGTATTTTGGGGTGTAGGCTGTTGAAGTGTGTGAGGAAGTTGTCCAGTTTTTCTTTCCCATGTGGCCAGATTATGAAGGTGTCATCTACATATCTGAGCCAGAGTTTGGGTTTGTGATCTGATCTTTTCTAGAGCTTGGGTTTCAAAGTGTTCCATATAGAGGGTTGCAATAACAGGTGAGAGGGGTGATCCCATTGGTGCTCCTTCTGTTTGTTTGTATTTTTGTCTCTAATAGATGAAGTATGTGTTGGATAGGCAGTGGTTGGTCAGATCTAAGATGTGTTTGGGGGGGTGTTTATATTTGTTTTGGATAGCTGTCAAGGCTTCTTTGATAAGCACTTGGGTGAAGAGGGATATGACATTGAAGCTCACGATTAAGTCGCTGGGCTGTAAGTTTTGTTTCTTTATTATCTCTATAAACTGGAATGAGTTTTTTATGTGTGAGGTGATGGATTCTGCTTTGGCGAGAAATTTGGCTAGGTCTTGTAGAGGTGAGACTATGGAGCTGACTATGGGTCTGAGTTGGGTTCCTTCTTTGTGTATCTTGGGGAGACCATAGAGTTTGGGGCATCTGGATGTTTTCTCTCTGGGAATGATTCTTTGCTGGATCTCCTCGCTAATCTGGGAGGCTTTTATTTTGGATTCGGTGGTTTTTTCCAGGTAGGTGGTGGGATCTGTGTTTAGGGGTTTGTATGTGGAGTCTTGGAGTAGGTTGGTTAATTTGGTTTGGTAGTCAGATGTGTTGATAACCACCGTGGCATTGCCCTTGTCTGCTGGTAGGATTGTTATGCTGGTGTCTTCTTTCAGGTTACGCAGTGCTGTCCGTTCCTCTTTGGGTAAGTTGCTTTGGGTGGCTTGCTGGTACAGAGGATGTTGGTGATTTCGAGTCTGATTCTGTTAGCGTCATCGGGGTTGATTTTGGTCAGGCTGGTTTCAACTCCACATATAATGGTTTCAGTGGGGATGTGTTTGGGAGTGACTGCAAAGTTGAATCCTTTGGAAAGGACATTGCTTTCGGCTTTGGTGAGGATCCTATCTGAGATCTTATGCACTGTTTGTTTCATGTGTGGCTGTGAGGGCGGAGGGATTCGTTTCTGGCGTTCTTGTAGTCTTCGGATTTGTTTACAGTATATCCAATCTTTTTACTTAACTCAAAACCGCAGCCATATGCAACCCACATTCCTGGTCATATTTTCCCGACCACAACATACCTGTGAGATGGGATGGGTTGAGAGACAGTTTTTGCCTTAAGGTCATCAAGCTGGCTTTCAAGGCCAAGCAAGGACTTGCACTTATGGTCTCCCATTTTCTAGTCCAATGCCTTTAACATTAGACCAAACTAAAATACTTTTAAACATAGAAATTATGTTTAATTATGTTAAATCTCTATGAAAGAAGAGTCGGGATTGCAATGGCACCATATCAGGGTCTTTCCTGAAATTGCACAATAAACCACCTTTAATCTTCCAATTAGGTGAGAAATGCAGTGATTTTTTTGTAAAAAAAAAAAAAAAAAGATGCTGGAACTCACACACATTATACAACCTGCCCAACTTGCAAGGTTCCATCCAAAAAAGGTGCCGGAACTCTGTTCTGGGCATTCTATGACAAAAAAAGCCCTGGAGAAATCCATCTTCACTTCTTCCTTTCTATAGACAGTGAAGAGCAAATGAAAATCTCCTACAGCAACCCCATCTCCATTTCTTTTGTGGCATCTTCAAAGCAAGATTCCCTATCTTCCATAGGGTCTCCAGTTTCCAAGTTCTCACAAAAAAGTGTTTGAGTGATGGGAGCAAAGCCATTTCAAAGAAGTCATCCTCTCCTTATCCAAATTAACAATCAACACACATATTGCTGGCTGGAAAACATCCATAAATAATTAAACAATCTCTGAGAGAGGTGGAAAATGCTACAATAAAAGCACTTCTTTTGATATGGGCAATTATAATAAATCTTACTACTAAGAATAATCTTTCACAAAGCCTTGTTTGACAGAAATAAAACTTCTATATTTATCCTGTAGATAGCAAGCAGTCTTTCTATTCTTTTTTGTGAGCAATCTTTCCTTTCAAGAAAGTTCACATAGGATACTAATTTCTCTTTGTGAGTTGCTCCCTGTGGTTGAGGTCAGGCCTAAAAATAATTATGTAGCATTTTGGGAAAAATATGCATCCCAGTAGTGCAGCACTGGAGGACAAGATGGAGAAGATCTCCACAGCTACCATGGCTTTTCCTTTTGTGCTCAGATAGGCTGGAAAGAAGGAGATCCACACACTGCAAAAGGCCAACATGCTGAAGGTGATGAACTTGGCTTCATTGAAGCTGTCAGGTAGTTTACGGGCAAGAAAAGCCACAAAAAAGCTGGCAATAGCCAAGATACCCATGTAGCCTAAGACACAATAAAAGAAGAAAGCTGACCCCTCATTGCACTGCAAAATTATTTCTTGGAGTTCTGAATACATGTCCAACTCAGGGAATGGTGGAGATGTTGACAACCAAGTAATGCAAATCAATACTTGGAAGAGAGAACAGGAAAGGACAGTACAAAAAGCCACTCTTTTCCCCACCCATTTCCTCATCTGAGATCCTGGTTTAGTGGCCATGAAAGCCAAAACTACAGTGATGGTTTTAGCCAATACACTAGAAATGGCCACTGAGAAAGTGATACCAAACATTGATTGTCGGAGAAGGCAGGTCACTTTGCCAGGATGGCTGAGAAAGATCAAAGAGGAGAGAATACAGAGCAGAAGAGAGACAAGCAGGGTGTAGGTGAGGAACCTGTTGTTGGCTTTGACAATCGGAGTATACCTGTGCTTAATAAAAGTTCCAAGTACCCAAGATGTCAAGAAGAAGAAACAAAGAGCTGCTGAGGCTAAACCAATTCCTAAATTTTCTTCAAAGGTTAGAAATACCATAACTTTCAGGATACATCCATTCTTTTCTTTATTTGGATACTGATCTTCTGAACATTCAAAACAGTCATCCATATCTGGAAGAAAAATCAAGGATACTTTTTCATCTAGGCATTTCGTATTACTGAAAATCGTCTTATTAATTTTATGCATCCAAGTAGTTTATTAAAGTTTGCTTAATTCTAATAAAAAAATGATAGAATTCCTACCCTACCATTTTGATTTGAAATCTTCCCTTCTGGACATGGAACACAGGCATAGCAGCAGAACTGTTCCCCCTCAATCCCTTTCTTCCTGGATCCAGGGAAACAAGGGTCATTGCATCGAGAAAGTGGAAGAGCCTGGTGATAAACATAAAAGGTTTTGAAATTGGGGGTATTTAAAACAGTTTGCAATTTTTCCCCTTTATTGTGGGGAATTATTTTTGACTTCTGAAAGAATACTTAATTTATCAACTTCATCAACAAGTTAAAGTGATATAGAAATTACAGTGATGTACAAAAGGTCTTTTGTGAAGGGCAGATGAATAAAAAAGTGCACATGTTGACAATCTAATGGAAAACTGGCTATTCTCATGAGTTAAAACACAAATGCTAACCAAATGTGCAAACATGGGTTTTACATTGTTATGTAAGTGCTTCATCATCAACGACATTTGAAAAGAATATGCAATTGTGCAGAAATCAGATATGAAAAGAGACTGTGTTAAATATGGGACCATAATGAATTATGCCATTGTCAATTCACCTGGTTAAAAACTGGATTCCAGACAATCGCATCTTCATCAATGAGTAATTCCTTCCCTTTTGGGGCCTGTAGATCCAGCTTTCCAACTCTAACTCTCTGAAAGGATCTGTTTGGAAAAGTGAACAAGTTGGTAATGTCGAATCCACCTGTTGCTTTTCCTTTTTCATTCAGGAACACTCTCTCCCCAACTGAATTGTTAAAAGAAATGCCTTGAAGAAATGAATGGAGCTACTTAAAAGGAAATAGAAGAGAAAGGGAATTGAAAGGTTAATAATGGAGAAGAGAACACCATATTCAATTTTCATTCACTCATTCTTACCATTCCTATAACTATTATTCTATATGTATGCTTAGAAACTTGATAATTGATATTGCATGGAATTAATTATTTAATTAATTTTATATTACTTTAAGGAAAGCTAAGAAGGAGTTGAAGCAGAATGAAAATACACTTTTGGAATTATGTAATTTCCTTCAGTTATGATTTGGGTTTCCTTCTGAAAGAACTAATTCAACTTAATCCATGTATAATCTTTCCTCATTGATACAAAGCTATTTTAGAGTTTGAAATTCCTTTAACAAAATTTTAGAATCTGAGCTTTCTTTGATAGATAGATTAGTGGTAGAGATAATTGCAAACATAGGTTTGGTTCATACTATTTATGCACATATAAAAAAGACTCCTTTTATTTTATTCCTCTACATGATAGAGACAAAAACTGCATGAGCCACATAAAAAGTTCTTGGAGAATTGATTATTTTTGAAGGTAACAATGAAAAGTAATTTAAATTATCATTTTAATTATCTCTTATTTTGGAAGCTATGATGATTAACTAAATAACTCCTGCCCACATCTAAACCATATTTCATAGAGTAGCTGCTTGATGATCAGAATAACAATAAGAACAGAAACTGTTATTTCTATATGTATTTTAGATATAACAGTAAAATACAGTTGCAAGGAACCTTGGGGGTCTTCTAGAACAACACCCTACTCAAGGACAAGACGCTGTACCATTTCACACAATTAGCTATCCTTCTCTTCCTCGAAATCTCCAGTGTTGGAGCATCAACAACTTCTGAAGGCAAGTTGTTCCACTAATTAATTGTTAATTGTTCTCACAATCAGGAAAGTCTTCCTTATTTCTATGTTGTTTCTCATACTTGATTCCACATGCAGAAAAGATTAAGACATTCTACAATGAATTCAAAAGATAATTGTACATCAAACTGCTCATTGAAATGAAAGAGGTATCAAATGCAAACGGAAATACCTGCAGATATTGAAAATCGGGTTTTTTATCCATCTTAGTCTTCTTTCTATTGAACTCCAGAATGAGTAGACTTTGCAAAGCATGAGCCACTGCATAAACAGCATTGTAAATACTATAGCTTTGGCCAGTCATTTCGATTTCAAACAAAGGCCCAGGAAGGTCCTCCAGCTTCATCTCCCCAGTGCATTTCCTATTCTGCATTTCTTGTAACTCTGGTTTTGGAAATGAACAATCAAATGATTGTTCCCAAACTTCCTGCAGAAACCCATCTCGGTTGTCTGAAAGAGGATTTACAGTCTGAAGAAATTCCTTGAAACCTACAACTGCTCTTGAATGAACAGTGAAGGAAATAGCCCCATGGAACATCTTGAGATCCCATGTGATTTGAAGTCCTGATAATATGAAATCAATCTGCGCAGTCATGATCCACACCTTTCTAAATAATGCCATTTCTTTGGTTTCAGGATCTGCCAAAAATGTAACAGTTCTTAGCCACATAATAGCCCAGGATTCTCCATAGACAAGAAATGCATTGGCTTTGCTGTTCATCAAATTAATGGAGGTAATTGAGATTTTATGATAAACTTCTGGGAAGTCCTCCAAGTGAACCAGTTGTGGAAGCCTTTCTATGAACGATGAGCAGATTCCGTTCTCTGAAAGTAAGGACTGCATTTTCTGTAAGAAATTTTCTCCATTGTTGTTATCAACAGCAAAAATCCCAATCCATGTCCACCTGAAATGGTGAAGTAGTTGGATAATCCCAATGTATTGATGTTCCTCTTTTGGGACCATGAAATAAAGTGAAGAGAGCTTACTGGTCTGAAACGCATCTTGGGCCAATGAGCCATATGTCAGCTAAAAAAAAGTGGAGTACAATTCTGTTCAATTATTAAATGGAACCTAATTTTTCTAGTCTAGTTTTTCTATAAAATATATCCAAGAAACATTTTTTTCCTAGCATTCTCCTAAATATTAATATGAAAGGAATGTGTTGGAATTACTTCAAGCACATTTAAAAGATCAGTTGTTTTAATACGAGTTTAAGAGTAGTACATTCAAATCTTCCCTTAGATATATAATGTCTCTAGATATTTAATTCCTGTAATTGGCATTGTAGTATCAGAAAAGAATGCTACATAGAAGACCATAAGACATGCAGAACATCCTAATACAAAACCAAGTATTTGATGCTCATTAATTATTCCGTAACAACAACAGCAACAACAACAACATATAGTTTTTTTTCTCCTCAACCCCATCACAGCTTACTTGTGAAAACTTGAAGAAACCCATTATTTCAGCGATATAAGATGATGTATCAAAATCCAATCCTCCAATAATAGCCATGAGTTTTTTCTGGCTATCACATTTGTAGTTAAGGACAAATTCCTGGGATTTAAAAAGGAGGTCCAGAGTGGTACGATAGGTCATTTTAGGATTGAGGTAACTATCATAGATATGGAACCCAAGAGTGATGTTAGGTAAGATCTGGGAATCCTCATTGATCTCTTTCACAGCAAAGGCCACGGCAAGGACATGCTGATAAAATTTGGTGATTATACTGCAAATAATTGAAATACCCTTGTTGAAAAAGTAAGCTGACAATTCTCATAAGGCAGCATTATTTCTTAAGAATAATAGCCATTTCTTTCTTTGATAGTAATAAAAACATAATATCTTTTCTAAAATTCCTAATTATAAACCCTGATAATATCACCTAATTTGTTTAATTAAATATCTGCAAGAAAATAATCAAATTCAGAGAGCATCAAAGACCCCTCATTTCAACCCTGTGCTAAAATATTCTCCTTTACTGATAATTTCTACAGAGTTTAAATTTATGTTTTACACAGTATTTCAATGACTTGTAAGAAATACATAATTTTCAAAGTTCTATATTTATTTTCTATGAGATTTATCAGGTATCACCATTTACTGTTTGTATGTTTTGGGAGGAGAGATAATTTAAAAAATTACCTCAATTTTAGTATATGTTCAACAATGTGTGTGAAAGTTTTTTTAAAAAAATGTAAAGAAGATTATTTCTTCTGCAAGAACCAGATGTAATTGAAAGACACAGAAAGCATAGATTCCATAGAAGAACAACTACATTTATGCAGATACAGCTTTTACTTTTATAAGGGATTTTTGGGCATCTGGCTAAGATTAGATAGCAAAGGAAAATTCTTACACTGGTACATCATTAGGTCTTCTGGCAGGATGTTCATTAAATTCCATTTCAAAAAAGTGGTAAACCATGTGGGACGCTATTCCACCAATGATGAAGTCTCCAGATTGGTACCACTCATGTGGAACAAGGAAAGCATTACTTGCAGGGCACCTCAAAGTAGCTACTTTGTACACTAAGAAAATCAGAAAGTACATCTTGATGCTTTCATTCTTGTGAAAATGTTATGTCTTCCACCCTAACCATAGGGAAATATATATATATATTCCAATACTTCATCTAAGGATTAATCCAATGTTTATATCTAAGAATGCATCTAAATAGAAAATCTATCATTTTCTATTTGAAGAGGCATGAGAGTGCAATTGTATCTTGAATTTCACAAGAAACAGAACAGATATTTTGGCAGAAAAGAACAGAGGGTAGAAACTTGAAGCAATGTATTTGACAGTGACACTATTAACCCTTGTACCAAACTCTCTGTGGTTTATGACTTACATTATATCTTGATTGTTGTTGAATTTAAATACCCTTCTATGCAGCCTTTGATGTTTGGTCCAAGCTAAGAAAAAAATGGTGATTCCTCTAGGAGATAATTATTTTGTTTTGATGAGATAATGTCTGATGATTCATCTATTTTTAAAATCAGCAATTGCCAGCAAAAGTAGTATAAATGATGGATTCCAGTGAAGATGGAGAACTGATGACATGCCCGGGGAGAGAGATTTATTTATTTTTTAAATGAAGGATACAAAGTTGTAATTTGAAGCTTAGTCTGCTTTACTGTGGGTGGCTAAAATGTTCTGATTTTTATGATTCCTTATTGGCCAGCATATCCTAAGGGACTTACAAAAAAGCTACTCTTTGACTAAAGAGGGAGTTAGACGAGAAAATTATGAGAGATATATTTGAAAAATCCTTAAATAAAATCCACTAATTCATAAAATAAAACTCATTAGTTCATAGATCAGCTATCCAAATATGTTTAAAAAAACCTAGTCAAACTCCTTCAGAGATACAATTATGTGTAGAACATTATCAAACTACCAAGGCAATTGCACAAGCAGCTGGCAACCTAGAGGAGTCAATTGCAATTTTGGAATATAAATCTGACATCAATCTTTATTGTGATGGTTTAAACATAAACCTCCCAACATAATTGAAAGAAGAGTTCCAAGAAAACATGCAACTTTCAAAGAGACAATTTTGGGACTTTTTCTTCATGGGCACTAATAATGTTGAGACATCCTTGAGAAGTTTATGAGTACTTGATTAACATTCCAAGAAGAAAAAAAATATTTTATGAAGATAAACTAGAAGGAGTGACTGAAACATAATATGTCAATTGGAATAAGGATGGATTTTCAGCTGTTTGATATTAGCAATAGAATGAAAATTTTAATGTCAAGTGGATTTGAAAATGATTTTTTTTCCTTTATATATAATGCTTAAGTAATTCCTAAAGCTTGCAAAATATTAGAAGTTTTAGGATAATTAATAATCCTTAATCATTATAAACTTAATAAATATTACAAGATTTACCATCATTCAAAAGTATATTTGAGTTATCTGTGTTAAGAGAAAATTAAAGAAAAATATGTATTAGCTTAAAGAAAAGTTTAGAGTTTTAAAAGGGATGTATACAGGAAGAATTTTTTTTTTTTATGAGGGTAACTTGGAAGGAGTGATTTAAGTTTAATGAGTTAATTGTAGTTACTTGGAATTTTATTAGTCTAACTGAAAGCAAACTTTAATGTATGTTAAATGGATTTTTTTTAGAAAGATGTATTAGAACTTTTTGATTTTAGAAATGTTTTTAAATAAAAGTTTAGTGTTTTCAAATAGATTTCAAATAGATTTTAACAAGTATTTTTTCCCTCTAAGCTTAAAGAGTCTGAAAGTGATAGTAATTTTTTTTAATATAAATGGTGATAGTATATAAAGATTTTTAAGTGCAAACAGAAATGTATATTTTTTCCACAGCAAGGAAGAAAAAGCAGAAATGTTTAAATGGGTTGCTTTATTCAAAGAGAAGAATATACTTAATTATATTTTGTATTTGGAAATCACTTTTGGATTTTGTGTTGTGATGAAAAAATGAAACTTTTCCTGATTAGATAGATTCATTGTTATAGAAATAGCTAGTATATAATGTTATTATCTTCTACTGTGCTAAAAAGAATCGGAAGTCAAGGCTTTTTTTCTTCTTTCCTTTATACCTTATATTTTCTTTTCCTCTTTTTTTCCTTCCCCTAATTTTCTATTTTTATTTTGCTTTGTTTTTTATATTTGAATTACCTTAAGCTCACTAAAAATCTTCAAAAGGTTTTCTGCAACAGAAGTTTCTAACCTTTGATTGCAAACACTTTAACATAATCTAACAAATTGTCAAGGCCCACTTCAAAACCTCATCCTAAGAAAGCAGGACTCTTGGAACAGTTTCTTTCCAAAAGGAACTTTTATTAAGAGAAGCTGATAGCAGGCATGATAGGCTGGATCTGAGGGTTTCCTACTCAGATCAAAAGGTTAAAGGAGTCTCAAGCAAACCCTACCCCAATAGTTCATCTGGTCAGTTTGAATGGGCCAGTCCTCAGGTATTAAGTCTGCTGTGGGAATGGAGCTGATAACGGGGTCCGTTCCCATGCTGGTGAAGATGTTGTTGTGTCTTTGCACCTCCCTTCCACAGCAAAAGACATGCCAGATGGCCTGAGGCACATTCCTTTCTCACCCCAAGGTAACATCAAGGGAGAGATAATTCAAAGAGCAAGTATGTAGAAACAGCAGCGAGGATACATTGTAGTGAAACAGAGAACGTAGCACAGAGCCTTCCCCCTCCCCCTCAGGAGAATGGCAGACCCTCAATAAGAAATGAAATAGATTCCCCCCCAGGAAAAATGGGTTCTGACACAAATATCTTACCTCCCACAACTAGAAACATTTGAAAGACAGAGTGGCTTACATTAGATATAAAACCTACATTTATGCTGAAACACCTTTTACTAATATCAGCAATTTTGGGGGGAACTGGCTAAGATTATAAAAAGAAAAAAGAAAACTTTTACAATGGAATATCATAAGGCTTTGCACAGGGATGTTCCTTCAATTTCAATTGATAAAAGTAATAAACTATGTGGGATGCCACACCACCAATTAATAAATCACCACTGCACATGGAGTTCTATAAGGGGCTGCTCTTGAAAAGTATCTGGAAGCACCAAATGGTTCAAAGTGCAGCCACCCATATGGTTTTGTGTAGACCGAGGTGAACATATATTTCACCTTTGTTGCGGGAGTTGCATTGGCTGACCATTTGCTTCTGGGTACAATTCAAGATGCTGGTTTTCACCTTTAAACCTTACATGGCTTGAGATCAGCTTATTTGAAGAATTGTCTCTTCCTGATCATATCCATATAATCCAGTAGAGCAGGACTGCTGTCTGGTCCAGACTCTTTAAGCTTCCCTCCTTCTTTGTTGCCCCTCTAGGGCAACTTTCTGAGCACCGGACTGAACGGAATTGGGCTAAGAACCCGGAGCACCAGCTTCTTCCTCCCGTCTCATCTAGGCATCCGATCAGAAGTCCTCAGACTGATCATTTCTTTTTCAGGGGGCAAATATACAAAATCAGCAGGGGATCAAATATTTTTTTCCCTCACTGTAGATTGTTGGGGACAATTTGCAGACTTAGAAAGGGCTGTAAAGCACTATGAAGCAGTATGTAAGTCTAAGTGCTATTGCTATTTGCGTTCCATCCAGCAAAGCAACATTCAGACAATGTAATATGTGAATATATCTTGGAGAAATATAATCTCCAAATTCTAGGAGGTAAGGATAAGACTTACCTACAGTCATCTATTACTGACTGGCTGTCAGCCTTCAGCTCATTATCTAATCTCTGTAATATCCTGAAGAAACACTTTACAACTAAACCTGCTACAAAAATAGCCTGAGTGGGTAGTCCCTGTTGGGTTGACCCTGAATGCCAGTGGCTGAAAAATAAATTGTAGGCAGCCATGAGGCTCACCCAGAGGAATCCTACTGTTCATATACAAGCTGAGATTTTGCACTTAATAAGCGAATAAAAAAAATATAAACTTTTAAAAAAGGTTTTGCCATTTCAATCTGTATCAAACTTGAATTGGCTGCTAAAAGTCATAACTCAGTAATATTTATGCACTCTGTAGCAGATGTTCTAAGGCAGACATGTCAAACTCAAGGTCCGGGGGCTGGATGTGGCCCGCAAAGTTTTTTCATTTGGCCTGTGAAGCCATCCCGGAAACAGTGAGGGAACAGCTCCCTCTGCCTTGGCCCTGCCTTGGCCCTGGCCCAGGCCAGCCGGGAGCCAATGTACAATTTTGTGGTGGCCATCTATGCTGAAACACATTCAGTCTTAGCTCTATAAGCCCCCTCCCTGCATCGCCTGAGAGGAACAGTGAGGCTCCTTCAGTGGACCATGCCTTGGCACTTGCGCTGGTCCCACCCCCTTCTGCCAGAGACCCTAAGATCTATCCCACTCCTGCCCAGGCCCCCACAGGCACCCTTGACACAAACGATGTAGAGCTGACCACACCCACCCAGTAGGCCACATCCACTCCATCCATGCCCAACCAGTAGGCTGCACCCACCCTGGCCATACCCAACCAGCCCCCTGAGGGCAACCACAATGCTGATGCAGCTCTCAATGAAATTGAGTTTGACACCCCAGTTCTAAAGGAATGGAGGGTTGCATTTGATATACCAATCTCTGCTGAGGACTGGGAGAAATATTATGAGTGTTTGTTTGCTTCTACGGAACCTGCAGAGAAACTGTCTTTAAGCAGGGAATTAATAAACTCTAGAACTCCTCCCCCTTTTCCTCCAGTCTTGGAAAAGGAGATATAATCCATCATTGAAAGCTTAAAGAGCAATAAAGCCCCAGGTGAGGACTTCTTATCATCAAAATTATTTAAGAAATTTCCCAATTGGTGGGGAACAGTATTGGCAGGTCTTTTTACACATATAAATAACACTTGCCATATACCAGATGGGTGGAAGATGGCAATAGTTGTCCCCATATATAAAAAAGGAAATAAAAACGATCCTAGTAATTATAGGCCCATCAGTCTGATTGACATTATAGCAAAATATACATGCTAAGTTCCTTTTAAATAGAATTGAAATCTGGGTAGAGGAAAACTATACCTTTACAGAAGAACAAGC